ACCTGGTCTGTGAGCTACTTTAGTCAACTTGCCTTTAATGTCCTCTTTTTCTTTCATCTGTGCAGAAGATCATTGCTGTCTTCAAACCCAAGAATGAAGAACCATATGGGCACCTTAATCCTAAGTGGACCAAGTGGCTGCAGAAGCTGTGCTGTCCTTGCTGCTTTGGCCGTGATTGCCTTGTCCTCAACCAGGGCTATCTTTCAGAGGCAGGGGCCAGCCTGGTGGACCAAAAACTGGAACTCAACATTGTACCCCGTACAAAGGCCAGTGACCTGTCCGCGGGGAGTCTTACTGCCTTACCAGGGCCCTAAAGCCCTGCTACATGTTAGTGGGACTCTTAGGTCCAGTGAGGGCTCCTTATGCCTTGAGTCTAGGGTTGACAGCCCTAGTGGGACTCTTAGGTCCAGTGAGGGCTCTTTATGCCTTGAGTCTAGGGTTATCAGCCCATCTTGGGGGTGGGGATATATTTAGACTCATGATTTGATCATTTGATGAAAGATATCTTGAGAAGGGTACACATAAAATTTTTGCATACAATTTCAAGAAGGTCACTCACTAACCGTCTGATGCACATTTATGGGCTTCTTGCATCTTTGGATCCCAGGTAATCCCAAGCTCGTTAGAAACCTAGCTACTTTTGTATCTCACTCTCTTAGATTTCTGAGCCATTCCAGGATTTAGATATAGTCTAGAATGTACTAGCTGATGTTAGCCAAGCACTTATGCAAGATCTGGCAGGGAGGACTTTAGATGGGCTTGAGGGTAAGAGTAAAGATCTGGCCTATAGGGAACTGACATGGAACTCTCTTCACCCATCTTTATGCTATGGAATTCTGGTACTTTTCTGAACATAACAAATTGAGGTCCCAGGAGGTAAATTCACACTTAGAATGGATTGAGATTCTAATGAAGGGTCTGGATCATACTCCCTGTCCTCCCCTCCCTCAAATGCTTAAATACAGAATTAATTACATATAATGTCAAGATATTTACTGAGGCCAGGTTAAGAACCCCTGTACTATAGAGTGTTCTGTGAAACTTTCCAGGGATTATGATGGGAAGGAATCTACTAGTCAGCATGTGAACATTTAAGGACATGTCATCACCTGTTGAGTATTTGGCTACCTGAGGTTTAGTAACAATTTAGGGCGGATCTGATCTGATGCCCGAAGGTTGCAGGGGTGTCTTGGTGGCTCTAGGTCTTAATTATCTTTGAGAATCTGAGGAAAATTATAGACTTTGTTTTCAGAAAATATTCACATATTTGCATATAATTTCAGTGGATGATTCATAGACCAGTTGAAGTCCATCCATTGACCCTATAGGGACCATGCCTCTAGATTAAAGGCCCCCGCTTGAAGTTTTCTTCACAGGTTTAGATAGCAGACTTTGGGCAAAGAGACTGATCAGGAGACAGGAGCTTCCCTTCAAACCTGTTTATTTCTGTTTTCCCAAGGTATCTTAAGAGAAAATGTGCTTGTTGTAGATGTTTAACTGTGTCTACTCCTTTGCCACAAACTCCAAACAATAAGCCAATTAGTTTGTAAGTCAGGGAACATTTCTTGAAATTTTATTCTCCCTTCTCAGCACCTAGCGAAGTACTGTACTTATAGCAAGCATTACATAAGTACCAGCTGAATTGGTGAATGAATATCAAACCATGAGAAACAACACCAAAGACCTCCCAACTTCAGGTCTAGGAGAAAATGTTTGAATGCAGTTCCCGGTATGTAGCTTCCATTTGGCATCTAATTCACTGCCTGGCTTTGCACAGCTCATTTCTTCACTTCACGTTTCAATCCTCTCTGTGCAGTTAGCTTACTTTGACCATCTTGTATAATAATTAATGCTCCTAAAATCTCCTGCCTAACCTGAAATCCTCCTATGAGGGCCCTCTTAAACTCTAGAAACTTTTAAATACTCCTTGCTCATCACTCTGTAATTTCCTTTTCTCATTAGGTAAATAGTAGAGCACCCTTGGCCCGGTCCCTGCCTATTCTGCCTGTACTTCTGGAGTGCAGTGCCTGAGAATCAGAGGCCTTAAGTTTGAATTTTGGCTCTGCAACTTTTTATTGAGTGATCCTTGAGCAAGTTACTTAAGACCATCCCCCGCACCCTGACCCCATTCAGTTTCCTCACTATAAAAATAGGGATATAAATAGTTCCTGTTTTATAGGATGGCTGTTAAGATCACACAAAATAATCCATGTAAAACACATAGCCCAATCCCTGGCACAATGTAAACACTCCATACATCTTAACCTGTGGTATTTTTATGACTGTTTTAACCATTAATGTTACCCCCCTCCCCCAATCCCTTTCTTCCCCATCTCTGGTCTTCCTCTTTCCCCGTTAGAGAACCTTAATGAGGCCTGAGGACCTTTTGCATCAAAAAGTCAGCAACAACAAAAAAACTTGTCTTCTATGAGACTGAGATGAGACAGAACTTTGCAAATTTAACGTATAGCTGCTGGAGAATAGGAAGAGGAAGTCTCTCCCCCTTGTCTCCCTACCCTTATGGTAGGATTCTATCCAGTTGATCAGAGCATCTGTCACTATGAAAACGGGGCTCGCATTGGAATGGATAGCTGTCTTTGCTCTCTGTTCCTTTAAGGTTTCAGGTTATTATAGTTTCTTTCATTAGTCATAGGGAAAAAGAGGGCTGTTACAAAGAGTGATCACAAATAAATCCGATGGGGGGAAAAGGTGGTTTATGAGTTTTCACTGTGGAAACTGGCAAGATAGCCTTTGTTCCTTTATTCCTGTGCCTGAGTGTCCTGATTTGTAAGGCAGAGAGTGCCAACCTGCAGTATCTTGCACATCCATTTCAGGTACTCCATTAACACTGGATAGATGGATGCATGGATGGATGGATAGATTGGGAAGGAAGGAATTCTTTTGCTTTTCTCCATTTCTAAGGTTCATGGGCAAAGTAGTTATTTGAAATGAACTTTCAAGGCCTAGGAAAAGAAAGAATTTTCTTATAAATTTGATTTCAGATATTTATATGCTAAAATCCACTTGTTGCTGTCTCTGAAAGAAGTGTGTAACTCATTCATTCATTCACTTAATATTTTTGAGCATGTGCCAGGCGCTGTGTTAGATACTGGGAATGTTAATGTGAATAAGATATTCCCTTCTTCCCCTTATTTCATTAGTCAGAAGTTAGATATACATACAGATAATCACAAGACAATGGGATAAGTATGACAATAGATGTAACATATGAATTATAGATTACGGTGATGTCAGCATAATTTGACAATCAAGTGTAATATTGATGGCCCATTAAAAAATTTTGTCTCGAATAGGCAATTCATGCATCTAGTGCTAAAATCAGAAGACACAGGAGAGAAAACAGAAAAGAGTAATTCAGTGTCCCTGCCACCCCTTTCAGCCACTCAGTTTCCTTTCTCAGAGACAGCTGCTATTACTAGTTTCTTGTGTAATATTCCAGATATAGTCTGCATATAAATACGCATATATATAGCAGGCCACTAAAAATGAAACCAACTTTAATGTTTATTTTTTGAATGTGGATAATGCACATAGTACAAAATTCAAAAGGAAATAAAAATATACAGAGTAAATTACAATTTGCTTTTATCTAGATAGAAAATAGGTATTGGGCTATCTTCTCCTAACTCAGGAGGTGGCTGTTTTAGTCAACATAATTCATGTTAGTTGCTGTAACACTTCCTGAATCACAGTGGTTTAACATAATAGGAGTTTATTTCTTATTCACATCATAGATCCATTCAAGGCAGGCAGCTCTTCTAGATCCTCTGTCATTCCACAAGGGGTCTAGGGTCCTTCTGTGATGTGGCTCTGCCATCTCAGAACCGTTCATTTCCAGCTGCAGAGATTGGGAAATATGATAAGAGTTTAGGGGCCAAGTCTGGAAGTGATGTATATGCATCACTTTGTCAGCATTCCATTGTCTTGAAGTAGTCATTTACTCTATCTTACCTGCTAGGAAGGCTGAGAAATGTTATTTGTGTCCCCTGGAAGAGGAGCAGTATTGGTGAGCATCTAGCTATTCTCTGCCATGATGGTATAGTTCCTTTAACTTGACTCTAATCTAGGTATCTCTTCTTTTTCCATTATAGGTAGTATACCTGGCCAGTGACACCTTCAACTATAGTGCCATTGACCGAGTGAAGTCCAGGGGCAAGCGGCTTGCACTAGAGAAAGTGCCAAAAGTTGGGCAGCGCTTTAACCGCATTGGGCTACCGCCTAAGGTATAGACTTCATCTGTGTGACTTATGATTTATGGTGGCATATAGTGATGACTTATAGTGGCATAGCCATCCAAGTGATGAAGCAATGTGTCTATAGACTCTCATATGGGCATGTGAATAGCTTGCCCTGAGGCTCCTGTCTTCCTCATTTCTGTCAAGGGCCTAAGACCCTAACTTTCTCACTTTATTCCTCTTGATGGGCTACTTGAATTTGGATTGTCAATCATAGTCACAACCCTTTTCTCCTATACTTGCAATGAGATGAAGAAGTAAAGATCTTGAAAACATTTTCTTTGTGATATAAAATTCACAAGGGCTTATTGAGTACCTCTTAGTCCTGGGGTCTTTGTACTTAGGCTATAGGGAAATACCTTTGTTCTTCCTTCTTGGTTGCAGGTTGGTTCATTCCAGCTATTTGTTGAAGGCTACAAGGATGCAGATTTCTGGCTTCGGCGTTTTGAAGCAGAACCTCTCCCTGAGAACACTAACCGGCAACTACTGCTGCAGTTTGAGCGGTTGGTGGTGCTGGATTACATCATCCGCAACACTGGTGAGCAGCTGTGGGTGGTTCTTTGCCCTGTGCCAGACTAGTGAAGTACTGGGGGAGGGAGGCCTGGAGGCTTGCAGGGCTTGGTATCAGAGGGCCTTATTAGGATGGGTTTTTTTCTCAGTCAGAAGGGTTGTATTTGGGGAAAGTCTCAGAACATACTTTTCCAAGACAAGCTTTGCCCAGGCACATCATGTGCAGTAATCAGAGGTGGTGAGGCCTGCAGCCAGTACTAACGTTTTATCTTAGCCTCTTTCCTGGTCCCAGACAGAAGTCACTTGGCCTTCCAAAGCAGTGTGAAGAGTACTGGGTACTCTTATCCTTGGTCTCTTGTTATTCTTATAGCAGCAAAACTTATTACAGGACAGTTTTTTCTTTAAGTACCTCATGCAAGTGGACTTTTACAGTATTTGTCATTTTTGTGAGTGGCTTACATTTAGCATAATGTCCTCGATTTTCACTCATGATGTAACATGTCAGAATTTCTTCCCTTTTTAAGGGTGAATAATAGTCCATTGTGCATGTATACCACATTTTGCTTATCCATTTATCTGTTGATGGATGCTTGGATTGCTTCCACATTTTAGCTATTGTGAATAATGCTGCTATGAATGTGAGTATACAAATATCCCCTTGAGACACTGCTTTTAATTCTTTTGATTATATACCCAGAAGTAGAATTGCTGGATCATATGGTAATTCTGTCTTCAATTTTTAAGGAATTGCCATACAGTTTTCCACAGTGGCTGTACCATTTTACATTCCCATCAATACTGCAGAAAAGTTCCAATTTTTCTACATCCTTGTCACCACTTGTTATTTTCTTGGTTTTTTTTTTAATAGTAGCTATCCTAATGGGTATGAAATGGTATCTCATTGTAGTTTTGATTTGCATTTCTCGAATTATTGGTGATGTTGAACATCTTTTCAAGTGCTTTTTGACCATTGGTATATCTTTGGAGAAATATCTATTTAAGTCCTTTGCCCATCTTCATATCAGGTTGTTTTATTGTTGTTGAGTTATAGGAGTTTTTCATATATTCTGGATATTAATCCCTTATCAGATATATGATTTGCAAATATTTCCTCCCATACTGTGGGTTGCCTTTTTACTCTGTGATAGTGTCTTTTGATGCAACTAATTTTTTGATTTTCATGAAATCTAATTTATTTTTCTTTTGTTTTGTGTGCCTTTGGTATTATATCTAAGAAATCATTGCCAAATCTCATGTTATGAAACTTTTGCCCTACGTTTTCTTTTTAGAATCTTTTAGTTTTGGTCTTAGATTTAGGTCATGGATCTATTTTGAGTTAATTTTTATAAATAGTGTTAGGTAAGGGTCCAACTTCATTCTTTTGCATATGGATATGCAGTTTTTTCAGCACTTTGTTGAAAAGACTGTCCCCATTGAACAGTCTTGCCACCCTTGTCAGCGATCATTTGATCATATACATACAAAGGTTTATTTCTGGACTCACTATTCTATTCCACTGGTCTGTATGTCTCTTTACAGTGTATCTAGTAGTCAGTTTTGAAACCAGGGAGTGGGAGTCCTACAGCTTCTTTTTCTGGATTGTTTTGACTATTCAAAGTTTCTTGAGATTCCATATGAATTTTAGGATGAGTTTTTCTATTTCTGCAAAAAACATCATTGGGATTTTGCATTCAACCTGTAGATTGCTTTGGGTATTATTGACATCTTAACAATATTAAGTCTTTCTGTCTATGAACATGGATTATCTTTCCACTTATTTATGTCTTCTTTAATTTCTTTAAGCAGTGTTTTGTAGTTTTCATTGTATAGGTCTTTAATCTCTTTGGTTAAGTTGATTCCTAAGTTTTTTTTCTTTCTGATGCTATTGTAAATGGAATTGTTTTCTTAATATTCTTTTTGGATTGTTCATTGTTAGTGTGTAGAAATGTAGCTGGTTGTTGTGTGTTGACTTTGTATTCTGATACTTTGATGAATTTATTAGTTTTAAAAGTTTTTTTATGGCATCTTTAGTGTTTTCTACATAGACAATCATATCATCTGTAAACAAAGATAATTTTACCTCTCCTTTTCAGTTTGGATGCCTTTTGTTTCTTTTTCTTGCATAATTGCTCTGGTCTTCCAGTACTATGTTGATTAGAAATTGTGAAAGTGGGCATCGTTGCCTTGTTCTAGACTTAGAGAAAAAGCTTTTGGTCTTTCACCATTCAGTATGATGTTTGCTAGGGGTTTTCCATCTATGACTTTATTATATGAAGGTAGTTTCCTTCTAGTCCTAGTTTGTTGAGTGTTTTTAATCATGAATGGATATTGAATTTTGTCAAATACCTTTTCTGCATCAGCTGAGATTATCAATCTGTTAATGTGATGTTTCACATTGATTGATTTTCATATGTTGAACCATCCTTACATTCCAGCAATAAATACTGGTCATGCTGTACAGTTCTTTTAATATGTTGCTAAATTTAGTTTGCTAGTTTTTTGTTGAGGATTTTTGCATCAATATTCATAAGGGACATTGGTCTGTAGCTTTTTATCCTTGTTGTGTCTTTGTCTGACTTTGGTATTAAGGTAATGCTGGCCTCATAAAATGAGTTATGGAGTGTTCCCTCCTTTTCAGTTTTTTGGAAAAGTTTGAGGATTGATGTTCTTTAAATGTTTGATAGAATTCACCAGTGAAGCCATAAGGTCCAGGGCTATTATTTGTTGAGAGATTTTTGATTACTAGTTATAGGTGTATTAAGATTTTCTGTTTCTTTGTGGTTTAGTCTTGGTAGGTTTTGTGTTTCATCTAGGTCATTCAGTTTGTTGGCATACAATTGCCCATAGTACTCACTTATCATTCTTTTTATTTCCATAGAATTGATAGAGATGTCCCCACTTTAATTTCTGATTTTAGTAATATGAGTACTCTTTTTTTCCCTTAGTCTTTGTAGCTAAAAGTTTGTCAGTTTTATTTATCCAGCGAAACAACTGTTAGATTTTAATTTTAGAGCATTTGGTTCATTTATCTATAATGTATGTATAGATATACATACATTGGATTTTTATATACTATCTTATTATTTGCATCTATGTTTTCTATCTTCTCTTATTCTCCCTTTCTCTCTATTACCTTTTTCCTATCCTTTCTTACTTTCTTTTAAATTATTTTATAATTATTTCATTTTTCACCTCTAGTTTAGAAGTTGTGTATTCTTTCTTTTGGTGGTTACCTTAAAGATTACTATGTGAATCCTTCACTTTCCAAATCTAATATTAATTGGTACTTTTACCATTTTCTTGGACAGTGCAAAGATCTTAGGAACTCTTAACTCCACTTACCCATTTTAAGACTTTTATACTATTAATGTCATGCATTTAAATTAAATATGTATGTATATACATATATACATATGTTATGTATATATATGCATATATAAGCACATTTATATAAAACTATAAGACAATGCTGTTGTCATTAATAATAATTGTGGAGACGACACAATACACTAATAAGCAGAAAATGAACCTTTATTAACTAGTCATCCCACCACTTAGCCTCTTCCCAAATCAGCAGATGCTCTATGGAAAAATGCTGGACTCCCTCTCTAGATTTCCTATTTCTCAGATCTTAACACTTTAACTCTTAATGGTCTTGTTAAAATCTCCAAACCCTTCAAGAGATTTAAAAATATTTTATCCACTTTTTTTTTTGTAGTTGTTCTCAGTAGAATGATTGGTCCAAGTGTTCAAAATACCTAGTCCATCATGAAAATGAATGTCACCCCAGTTTTTTCTACTAACTTTATATTTCTGTTCACAGATCGAGGCAACGACAACTGGCTGATTAAATACGACTATCCAATGGATAATTCTAGCTCTCGGGTAAGAGGTTCATCTGTATCTTGAAGAAGATGAAGTGGAGTATATGCATTCCGAAGAATTAGGATAGCACATGTGTTTAAAATTGATAGGTTAATATTTGGTAGAGTTTTTCCTCTGTTTTTTAAGGAATATGCTACTAAATGATGTTAATTGGAATAGATGAAGAAAAGTTCAGATGAGTTTGGGACATATTTAATGGTTTCCTTAGAGATTCACATTGCATAGTAACATAGTAAAGGTCTGAGAAATTGTGCATTTAATGAACGTGTTTAATTTTGCTTGGCTCAGTGATTTTTAAACTTTTTTTTGACCATGGAACATTTTTTTTGCAACAGACTACAATTCCACAGAACATCAGTTTAGAGAAAGCTACTTTCTTTAGCTTTCTTTACTCTCTCATTCTTTTCATACTTTACCACACTTCTCTATTTCTGCTCAGTCTGCACATTTTCAAAAAGTAATGGCAAGACTCCTTGGAGAAGGAAAGTGAGGTTGGGTTTTATTCCTCATAATGTCTTTTTTTTTTTTTTCCTTTCAGCTTTATTGAGATATAATGACGTATAGCATTGTGTAAGTTTAAGGTGTTCAGTGTGATGATTTGATACATGTATATATTGTGAAATGTTTACCACAATAAGGTTAGTTAACACATCCTCATAGTGATTTTACTTCCTTCTTTAATAGTCATTCTCAAATTTTGTACATCAGAATCACCTGCAAAGCTTATTAAAAAGAGTACAGATTCTTCAAGGCTTTCTCCCATGAGGTTGGGTAACTCAGGATTCTGCACTTTAATAAGATATCCCAGGAAATTCTGATGCAGATGTCCTGGACCCACATTCCTTGTTCTTGTGATGGCACCAGTGAACCTGAAGCATGAAGCCAAGTAGACACTCATGAGAGTGTTTGACATGGGCTGTCGCAGATAACCTGCCCCACTCTTTTAACATTCAGCTCTTGTTCTTTTCCTTTTTATGTATCGCGAAAGCAGGGAAACAGACTCCCTTGTGCAAAAGCAGCCAACCGTTGTCTTCCTTCCATGGTTCTGTTATCGCACTGGAAAAATATGATCACCACCAGTGAAGTGACATTTGAGTCAAGGTCCACACAGAAGGACCTTGACCAACTGATACTGATTTTTTTTCCTTTTTTCATGGCCTCAGGAATCTCATCGCCTTTCCCTAGGAGGAATGGCTTATAGTTACCTTTTGTTATTGTCACTTCCCCTCTTACCAGTGACTGTGGCAACTCCTGGGGAAGTATACCTTTTCTAAGATGAGAAAGGGACTCTAAAAACCTTGTACAAGCCAAATCAGAGGAGCCATTAAGTGTACTGTGTTTAGGTAACTAGCGGAAACTGCTTTAAGAAGCTGCATAAGGATTGCTACTTGAGGAGGTTCAGATGGGATGCTTTGCTACTACTTTAAAGGGCCTGAAGCACATGAGACTCTAAATATTTAATCTTTCCTTGCTCTTCAGGACACAGACTGGGTGGTAGTAAAGGAGCCTGTTATCAAGGTGGCTGCCATAGATAATGGGCTGGCTTTTCCCCTGAAGCATCCTGACTCCTGGAGGGCATGTAAGTCTTAAAACCACTGTGGTCTGGCTCCTCTCTTGCTGGGTCTCTGTTTTCTTGTCTGTGCAAGGTAGAAATACCTCTATCACAGGATTGTGCTAAGAATTAATGAAATAATGCAGCTCATGCACTTTAGCTAAATGGCTGGCACATGGCAACAACTCCATAATGTAAGCCATTATTGTAATTTTTACCTTACATTATTCCTATTTGTGTCTATTTGCTATCAGTATTCTGTCTTCCTTGTTGACGTCCTGGAAGTCAGCTCCTGCCCCGTTATAACTGAGAAACTTTCAAAAAGAGGGAGAGATGCTGGTTGGAGGATTACTAGCCTCTTTGCAGCATTAGTCTGTCTTTTCAAAAAGAGCATCTTGGTGTCTCAGGAGCAAGAAATTGCTTCTAGATAGGGTTGCATCTTGGAAGGTCATGTAATATCTGGGAAAGAGCACAGGCTCTGGGATTAGGCAGACTTGGGTTTGAATCCGGGTTCCTCCACTTACTGTGTAACCTTTAAGGTTCACAGCTCTTGTAACTTTTCTGGTGTATATCAAGGAAGAGGAGTATTTTACTTTTTGCACTGGTCTGATAGATAGAGGATACAGATGGGCAGGGAGTTTTTTCAACATCAGCTTTGCTTTTGACCTTTCCTCTTTCAGATCCTTTTTACTGGGCCTGGTTGCCCCAGGCAAAAGTCCCATTCTCTCAGGAGATCAAAGATCTGATTCTTCCAAAGATATCTGACCCTAACTTCGTCAAGGACTTGGAGGAGGACCTATATGAACTCTTCAAGGTTAGCCCTGGGAACATCAGCCTTATAACCATATAGAACAGCGGTCCCCAACCTTTTTGGCACCAGGGAATTGTGCTCCTATGAGAATCTAATGCCTGATGATTTGAGGTGGAGCTGAGGTTGTGGTACTAGTGCTGGGGAGCGTCTGCAAATACAGATGAAACTTTAATCACTGGACTGCTGCTCACCTCCTGCTTACCTCCTGCTGTGCAGCCCGTGACCCAAAGAAGAAAGAATTCTTATTGCAGGTTTTACTAATTGGTCCTGATACAACCAAGAACGCATGGCTAATACCCTTCTGACTTATATTAGCCAATGAAAAGCAAGATTTCTGTGTGTGGACAGCAGGACCTAGTTTGGATTGGTTCGAAGAAAATTGGCAGGTGTAATGAATCACACTGGTGTGTTTGTATCCTGTGTGTCATGTGGCTGCATGTATATGCAGAGCTCTCATTTTCAAATGAGAGCATTTTCGAACAGAGCATTAGAGCCTGGAGTTCTTTAGAGTTAATAATGAGACTTAGGACAAGATATTTACTATTCTCTATTTCCCCAACTGTGAAACAAACAGGGAGTTCTAGGGTGGTAGTTAACTTCACTAAGCCTCATAAGTCTTAGTGTAAGTTTTCTGTAGTAGCAAATTTCTAACTAGGGGAGGAAAATGGGTTCTTCTGAGAGATTTATGCAGGTTCCATCTCCTTCTGCCCTTCCTTTGCAGAAAGATCCTGGTTTTGACAGAGGCCAGTTCCATAAGCAGATTGCTGTCATGCGGGGACAGGTAAGCCTGGGACATCCTCCTAGCGTCATCTTTGGGATCTCTTGGGGAGAGTTATTTGCTCATGTTGAACAAATGTGGAAAGCTTGTATTTTACACCCTTTTCATTCTATGCCATACATACCTGTGACTGCCTAAAAACATGGGAGAGGAAAGGTAGCCCTCCTTAATCTTCCACCTCTTCCACAGTATTCAGTGCTTGATGAAGCACTTACTGAGTGCTTAGTTCTGTGCCAGTTGCTAGATAGTTCATTGGTAAATTTACCCAGTGGTCTCTTATCAAGTTGCTCAAGGCAGGCCATGTGCCTTGGTGGTTAAGAGCTGGGCTCTGGAGTCAGACTGCTTTACTCCTTACAAGCTTCATGGCCTTGGACAAGAGCCACTGCTTCCTTGTTTGTAAAATGGAACAGTATTAATACATCACATAGTTGGCCAGAGAATTACATGAGATAATGCATATCAAGTATACCGTAAAAATAATGCCTGGCATATGGTGAACACTCAGCTATTGGCTGTGGTTATAATATTTGTTGTTACAGGTCATATTATTCTCTTTCCACTCCACATCAAAGAGAGCTAAGGAAACCCCCAGGGCATTACTGATCTTTCAAAAGAATATGCTTGAAAAATTGTTTAAAAACTCTTTAGGGCACCGATATTGTGCTTATTACTTTGAAGTCTTCTTAAAGAGAGCTGAGATGGTCCAGCAGTTAAGGGCACGAACTGGCCAGAATGCCTAGGTTTTAATCCTGGCTCTGTCATTTACTAGCTATGAAGTCTTGGACAAGTTACTTAATTTCTCCTTTTACTGTCTCCATTTGTAACATGGGATTAATAACAGCATCTGCTTCATAGGGTTAGTATGAGATAAATGATTAAAACAGTTGGAGGAGTGCCTGGCATATTGAAATACTCAATATGCGTTAGCTATTTTGAACACCACAAAGTTCTGTGAACATCTAGCTCCTCTCAGTGTGTAGGTGGCCAGTAGATCAGTCACATCCTTGCTTACCAATCACACAGTGAAGCAAAACAAGCCTCTGCCTTGTAGAACTCTGACATACTGCAGAGAAAGGAGGTTACAACCTTCTGCCTACCTGAGTTGTAATCATAGAGTGAGTTATACAGGGGCTCTGCTGAAGGGAA